TGGAGCTCATTGGGGGATGGGCTCAGTAGGACCCACTGGTGGAGCAGTCCACAGGAGGAGGGAGATAGGTGTCAGGGAGGGGATGCTGAGAGGCCTCCAGACTCAGATGCATAAGCCCAGATGTAGTCAGGAGGATCCCCTTCTGGGAGTCAAGCATTTATTCTGGAAGCTATTACTGTCACAAGTGCAGGATGGGGCAGGGAGAAGGGGATAGAATGGGAGGAGTGATGACCCACCAGGCCCATGCCTTCTTCTTTCAGGTCCAGTGAGCATGAGAATGCCTATGAGAATGTCCCGGAGGAGGAAGGCAAGGTCCGCAGCACCCCGATGTAACCTTGTCTGTGGCTCCAACCCCAAGACTCCCAGGCACCTGGGATGGATGTCCAGTGCTACCACCCAAGCCCCCTCCTTCTTTGTGTGGAATCTGCAATAGTGGGCTGACTCCCTCCAGCCCGACGCCGGCCCTCCCCTCTCCTGAAGTATAGCCAGCCAAGGCTGGAGCTCAGACTGTGTCTAGGTTGGGGCTCAGCTGTGGCCCTGGGGTCTCCCGCTCAGCTCAGAAGAGCCTTCTGGAGAGGACAGTCAGCTCAGCACCTCCCATCCTGCTCGCACGTCCTTCCCCATAACTGTGGAAGCGGCCCCAAATCCTGTGAAATAAAGACTTTTTGTATTTCTGAGGCTGAGGCCCAGCAACAGCCCCTCAGGCTTCCAGTGAGTCCCCATCTTGCTTTCTGAATCACGACAATCGTCTTCCGACTTGTCATAGTGGCTTTGGGGGATTATCCAGGAAGCCCCTGTACCCACAGGGCAGCTGGGACCGAGGGGGCCCAGGCTGGGGAGGGACTGAGAGTGTGTGGCCAGGGTGAGGGTAAGAGAGGGTTGGTGCCTTTTCTGGTGTTTGAGAGTGAAGCACCCTCAAATGGGAGTGTCTGATGACACGTGGGAGAATTGGGAGGCAGGAAGACCAGGACAGGTGAGCCCATTTCTGCCAGTGGGGTGTTTCTTGTCCCCTCAGGCCAAACCCTTTCTTCAACCAGAGCCGCCGGGCACGGCTTCCCAGGGCAGGGCAGGGCAGGGCAGACCCTGATATGAGCTAGGTGCCCCCAGTGCTGATCAGTTTCATGTATGCAGGGAAGGAAGAGGATGTCAGAGGCCCATGGGCCGGGGAGCTCACCCACTCTACCCTTGCTCCAGTCCCCGCCCCCAAAGCACCCTTCATCCCTGAGGCTCTGGGCTTTTCCTTGCACAGTGCCGTTCACCCTTTGCCTCTGTGCTGGAGGTGTCACGGTGGGTTCCCACAGATCTAGTCTGTCTCCCTCTGGTGGCCCCTCTGTGCTGGCTCTGGCATAGGAAGTGTCAGGAAGGAGTCTTGGGTTGAGACTCAGGAAGCCCAGATGTGAGTCCTGGGTCCTCTGCCAACTTGTGTGTGAGCTTGGGAAAGCTGCTGTCCTCTCTGAGCTGAGCTTTCTCTCCATGGAAGATTTGGCCAGTCTCACGGCAGAGCTGGAGGACAGCCCAGTCCTTGCCTATGCCTGCCTCGCCCAACGCCCAGTCCTGGAGTGGGAGTCGGGGTAGGGACGGGAGGATCAGGAAACTGGGTCCTAGTAGGAGCAGGGCAGAGGGGAGGCACGCCTTGCCTGGCTGGCGGAACCTGGAGGCCCCTCACCTCTGTGACTGTTGGCCTTATGGGAACAGCTTCTGTCTCTGTCCTGGGTGATAATCTGAGATGGACTCACCCAGGATAATTCCCAGATCCAGAGAAGTGGGGCCAGAAGGTAGGAGGCCATCCACCTTGTCCCAAAGGTCTCCCTTTGCCACTCGCCTCAACGTGTCACAGCCCCCTTGTTCCATGTTATGACCATTCTTTTGCTATTCTAAGGCTTCACCAAGTACCACTGGGGAAGACTCATCTTAAATGGAAATAATCTCTTCTCACCTCATTGGGTTTAGGATGCAGACAGTAGCAGAGGGAAGAGGCCTGGGGGTGGGGGAGCAGCAGCTTTGCTGCAGGCCTATCCCTGCCTTTCTGTGTGTCTTGAGACAAGTCACCTCCCCTCTCAGGGCTTCAACTTAATGAACTACAGCTTGTGATTTGTACTCTAGGCTTTTGCTTACGTGGCTTTCTGTGACTCATGCCTTTTCACCCCACCTCTGCCCGTTTAAACTCTGCCCATTGTTTTTTCTTGACCCAGCCAAGGTTCCTCCTCTTCTGGGAAGTCTTCCTTGATTAGACCAGAGGGCAAAGCCAGGCCAGCAGCCAGCCCCGCTTCTCCACTCACTGAAGGAGAGACAGAGGTTCCTAGAGGGTCAGGCCTCTGCTAGGGCACACACAGCCCCCTCTTCCTTTCCTGCCTCCTGGTGGGAAGCTTCTGGCTGCCGGATCTGATTCTCCTTTCATGAGGCCACATTTCCTCCCAGCTCTGCCGTCAGTTGTCCCTGGGGGGTGGGAGTGGGTTCGAGTCAGGTCACCCCACCAGCCTGCCAGGGCCAGAAGGCAGAGCCACCCTCCCTGTCTCCCTGTAGCAAGTGAATCCCAGCTCCTCACACCTGTGAGGTTTTGCCAGGAGAAGCCTGCTTCTGCCTGGGCTTACCTTGCTCCCCATCAGCTATCTGGGGCCTCTCTAAGAGCCCCCTTGTCCCCCTTCTCATTCTGTCTTGCTCAATATGGGCAGATCTAAGAAAGTGGGAACCCACGGGGCTCCTGCAGGGGCTGGGCCGGCACTGACCTTACAGCCCCTCACCCTCACCCCATGTTCCTGCCCCGATCGGGGGCTGGGAGCAGGAAGCTGCTGGCCCCAGAACCGCTGAGACCCCCAATCCTTATCGCTCATTCCCACCTGCCAGCCTGGCCAGATCGAGGAGGCAAAGGAGGCTGGCCCCAGGCCAGGGTGGCGCTTAATGACCCTCAGGGGGCCTAATCTCAGACAGGCAGCCACGGAGTGGCTCAGGCGCGCTCCTGGAGAAGGCTGATAACGCACCAGCTGGGCCCCCACCATCTATCGCTGCACAGCCAGTCTCAGGGGCGGCCTCCGAGGGCCTGGGGAGGGGGAGCCTCCGGACTAGGGCGGGGCTGGAGGCGAGCTCTCCGCCCCTAGCACTGAGGGAGAGGATCCTGAGCTCCGTAAATGGTGGACAAGGGAGAGACCCAGCCTGCAGGAGGGGTGGGCTGGGTCCGGTGGGAACCCCCAAAGCCCTGTGCTCCTTCTCTCTTTCCTGCTCTCTTCCCAACCTTTTCTCCACACATAGGACCTCTCCTGCCCAGGTCTTTCTCCTCTTTGTCTTTCCCAGCCTCTATCCATCTCTGTCTCCCTGTTTCTCGGTCTCTCCGCCTCTGTTTTTGTCTTATCTTCTGCCTCTCTCTGTCCTGTCTCCCTTCCTCCTCCTCCACCTGAGCTCAGCGCCCACCTCCTCTTTCTCCCTTGCATCCCTTTTCAGTTTTCAGCTGGTTCTGTTGGTTGTTCCCTTCCCAGCTGTCCCCTGATTCCCAAGCTTCCTTGATGCCAGCCCTTGGCCGGGCAGTTCCCACGATCTCATTGGTCTCACTTCTGTGTGTGGCATCATCTCTCCGTGGTCCCTTCCACCAGCTCTCTGCCAGCACCACAGGCTGCCCCAAGCCCTGGCTCTCAGACCAGGATGTCTTACTGTTGAAGACATTTTTGCTCTTCCTGGAACAGGGCTTGCACCTTGTTTTCCCCTCTCCCACCTAAAACATGTAAGTTTCATAGGGTTACATTAGAGATAATACCCAAACTTAGGCAGGAAGGAAAGGCCTCCATCCAGCAACTGCACAGCTGAAGGGAGACTGCAGCACTGCTTACTTCTGTTAGACTTGAAGAGGAGCTGCCAACCAGGAACTGGCTTTGAAAACAGGCTGCGGAGTTCCATCTCCAGAGTGCCAGGTGGTCACGGGGAGTTTCAAGATTACTGCCCTCATACTCAGAGTGACATGTGCAGAAATACTATCTGTTTATTGTGCTTCAAGCGGCCATCAGATCAGGACTATTGCTGGGCAAAGCCTCTTCCCGCAGCCTAGGGGTAGGAAAGGTGGGGGTAGAGGTGCTGGGGGTGGGGCCAGAATCACACACAGTCTGCTCTGGCCTCTTTGCCCAACTTCACAGGCAAGTCAGGTGGCTGAAGCCAGCAGAACTTGCTCTGGGACCAGGGTGGAGGCACCTACCTCCCATCCAGACCTGGCTGGGAGGTCCTGACTCCCCAGCTTGGCTTGGCTCTCCTCCCAGGTTTTTTTTTCTGTCCCTGGCAGTGCGGACGGTGGCCAAAAGCTTGAGCGTGGGAATCATGCCGATTGGTTCAAATTCCAGACCTGCTCCTCACTGCCTGTGGGATCCCCTAGCCTTTCAGATCCTCCATTCCTCCTTTGCCAGTAAAATTGGCTTTGTAGTACATTCCTTGCACGGCTGCTGGGAGGAAACAGAGATGACATCCGTGTTGTTATTGCTCCTGAGACTTGCCAGAAAGCCCTCCATGATCAACGTAGATGCCATTTCTTCCCAGACGCTCCTTTCCCCACTCCTGGGTTCAGCACTTCCTCTGGGCAACTTCAGCCCCTGCTCCTCCCTCTTTTTGCACCCGCCCCACCTCCTCCACTCACTCCACTCACCCCAGGATGCTGTCTAGTTGTCTGCATCCCGCTCCTGCCCCGGGTCTGGGAGCTCCTCAAGGGCAGGAATGGAGTGACTTCCCTCTCTGTGCACCCAGGACAGGGCTGGGCAGGAGAAGGGAAGCCGGAGTGGTGGAGAGTCCCGAAGGAAGGGACTAAACTCCAGCCATCTGTCCAGCAGTGTCTGTTCACACCCCTCCTCCCTGCACGGGCGCAGACATACACATGCACATATGCTCACTCTCTCTTTCTGGTTGAAGGTCCTGGGAGCCCTTGGGAACGCTGCTGCCTGGCAGGCCTACAGTTTAGAGCGCTGTTCTGCCTGCCCGTGGCCTCGGCTGCCACCTGGTGGCTGCGCGCACTAAAGGAAGGGTAGATTCAGCAGAGCCTGGGAAGCTGAGCTTCAGGCGCCGCTCTTCCCCCTCACACTGGGACTAGACGCCTTTCCATGGCGTAATCCCAGAAACCTCTCAGGTCATGCCAGCAACTGGGTCTTCCTGTGGAATGCAAGGGCAGTGGGACCTCTGAGCCCCCTCCTTGCGGCCCCAGTGGCCGAGTCTGCGAACACCTCAACCTCCCTGCACTTTTGGTGGGGTCAGCTTGGGCGCTTAGCCATCCTAGTCCTGACATTACACCTCTTCTTTCGGCAGGGGTCTGGGAGTCCAGTGGCTTCTGTCCTGGGCCATGTTTTTTCCAGAGGGTGAGAGATGGCATCATTTCTGGGACCTTGTTCCCTGGAGACTCTGGCCCCTTGAAGAAACAGGATAGAGAGAGCTTGAGAGAGAGAGAGAGAGAGAGAGAGAGAGAGAGAGAGAGAAAGTATTAAGGATGAATATCAGTGTCTGCCCCGAGTAAACTGGAAGATGATGGCATCAGGGGCACTGCTCTGGGCTGTATAGACTGTGCCTTCACTAACAGGTCCCTGAGACCAGGTGTGGGCCCGTATCCCTGGAGGGAGGGGTGCCTTCCTCTGATTCGAAGGTATCATTTAGGCTAGTGAATGGCATTGAGAATGGCAGATGCCAGGGACAAGCAGGAGCATGTGTGGGATGAGGATGCGGCGCGGCTGTGTGACATTTCGGAGCCTGCAACACATCCATATAGAAGCC